CAACACAATGTCAATATAGACCTTTCATTTTTTGTTCTCTCCACTTAGTTCCCAATAGAAACCATCGTTCACAGAATATTAGCTCTCAGTTGCCTGTAGTTCCATACTTCTAACTGCCTGCTACTACCTCCAATAAAACATGTAAAAATTTTTCATATGAATTCATTATATTCCCCCTTTCCTAATTTTTCCTACTTCAGAAAACTCTATGGGAACTATTCCTTTCTAATTTTTCTTTCTCAGATATGACCATTTCTCCTCACTTCCATTGTTCCAATGCCTGGCTCTCATCATGTTGGGTTATCTGCCAACTCAACTTCCTGCCCTCCCCCCTTTCTCTTTCGAGCTACTCTTGAATGATGTATTTCTCAAAATGTCTTTGCTGGTGTCACTCTCCATGCTCAAGGAGCTTCAATAACTCCCTGCCATCAATCTCTCAAAGACTTTTTTAAACCTAGTACCATCTCTGAAGCCAACCCTTGCCTCTAGGCAAGGACCTTCACCTTCCTTTGTTTGTGGTCCTGGGGATCAAACTTAGGGCTTCACACATAGAAGGCCTGGGCTCTACTATTGAGCTATACCACCAGCCCAGGCCTTCTATTTTTGCCAAACCAAGCCTCTTGTAAGCAAGTGCAGTTCTGTCTTTGTGCTTCTGATTGAGCCATGCTCTTAGCCAATGGTTAAGTGCAGGGACACTAGAGCCAGGGTGCCTCTTCCTTGCTGTGTGAACGAAGCCCACCTGTTCATTAATCCCTTCCCTGATGAATCCAGCCCATAGCTTCTCTCCTTCTGCTTCTTTCAGAAATTTCTATTTAGGGTAAAAGAAAATAATTTGAAGAAAAGTTGTCAACCACAGTGTAAGTCTCTAAATAATGAGAATGTATACTTATGAATGGTAGACATACAACATCTGCTTAATCCACAATGAATAGTGTTTTTTAACTTCTATCTAAAGTTCTATGACCTGAGCTCTGAAACCAGGCAAACTTTGAGTAGATCACAGTAACAGAATTAGGAAGTTTGTAAGGATGTAGAATGTTCTATATGGCCAAAGAAATTATTTATATAATAAGTACCCACATGGCCTATAGGCCACTCCATTGTTACCAGGATTTATGGACAGGTAATTTCTGGGTCAGACTGGTTTTTGCTTCAGATCTGTACATGCACCCAATGGTCATCAGACAAAGGAACATAGATGCTAGGTAAGGGGAAAAAAAGCCCACTATGAATATACAAAAATCCTTAGTGTTTCTTCTTCTTTTCCTTGGTCTTTAACAGTTCACACCTGGTTGGTTCCAGCTTCAGTTTGGGTATTGCTATCACCCATAACTAATTTCGCTTCTGAGCAGAATAACTCACTCATTCAAGTAACATTGGCCCTATATGTGCCAAAAGGAAGTAGGCAAATCTCTCTTTTCAGGACATAATCATCTTTTCATAGTTTGGGTGTGTGATCTGTGAGTCATTAAGGCATCAACTTCCTTCAATGTCCTATCATACCTTCAATTTTTCACTCTAATAAAAGGAAAGATCTACTGGTAACTTCAGCCCCACCTGGTGGAAACAAAACCAAGTTGGACTGTTTTGACCTGAAAAGATAAGCCTAGATGGGGGTCAAGCTTAACAAGAGAAAGACCACTTGATCCAGAGGCTAATATGTAAACTGGTTATAAGCAAACTTTCACCTTCCAGGACCTAAAAGACTAGGAAACCTAGACAAGCTCCTTTGGGTATGATGCCACCCAGGGCATTTTCTCATTCATTATAGGCAAATGGTGGAGAATGAATTCTTCCTCCACCCCTTCCAAAGGAAGTAAAAAAGTTATCTTAGCTAAAATGGTGGCCACACAGATAAGGTAAGGTGATTTATTTGCTTGGTCTGGACCTTAGTGATAGATTCTGGTATGAAACTTCAATCCAGTACCCCAATCAAATGGACTCAAAAGTTTCTGATGTGAAATCCAGCTGCTGTCTCAAAGTTCAGAAGGTTAAAAAAGTTTGGTCTTGTTGAAAAGTGAGTCCTTTAAAGAAAATATAGCCAAATGGGACAAGGATTATACAGATCAGAGAGAAAGATAAGTTTATGGACTACAATCCATTATTCTCTTGGTGGGAGAAGTCTTCCACACTAGAGCAGCCCCCAATCTGGGAAACATTAACTTCCATCTTCAAAACATCTTGAAAATATTACTAAGTTGTTCTGGGTCCTTTGGTATCTCTCAGATACCTCTGATACATGAGCTAGGCACAGAAAGAAAAATACCAAAGTTTTTAAACGTGATTCACATAGACCCCTACTCAAAATCATTCCTGCAGTTTCTAACAAGCAACCCCAATGATTCTAAATTACATATCATATAGAGACCAACCATCTTAAATTTTCTGAGGCTAAAGAATTCACAGCAAGAATTTTCCCTTATTGCATTGGGTCACTCAGAAGAAACCAGAATCTCTGAAACTCTATCTTTAGGTTTCTCCTTCTCCTGTCAGGTTCCAGGAAAACTGAGGAATGGAAGACAGCTTTCAGTCACCCTTATTAGGCTATCTATATCTGCTCTGCTCTGCTCCACCTCCACCCTTGCCCTAATCTTCAGCACTGAGGCCATCACTAATCCTAATGAAAAGTCCTAACAGGATCTCTCTATTCTATAATCTAGGAGCAATTTCCTATTTGCATTCTGTCTACCCATGGAAGTCTCTGATATTCAGAGACAAATCATTACTAAAATAATAATCATGATGATAATCATAATGCACTCAGCAACGTCCTTTTCATGAGCTGCTGAACCAAAAGCATGTCATACCAAGCTGGAGTTTAACCTAACCTTTGCATGTCTGTTGAGTCAATTTGGGCTCTATACTCAAATTATTCCTGCCACAAGTATCATGCCCTTTTCTTACCCTTAGTGTGGATACTAAAGTTCCACCCACTCACTGGGGTCCATTTTTGCCTTCATATCCTAGGAGATAAGAGAATGCCAGGGAAATCCTAGAGAAGAGGTAAGGAGGCTTAAAGAGCCCCCTGTCCCTGAGGTGACTTAGAACTATCCTGGGTCCTGTAACTGACTTCTTGCAAATCTTCCTGTGGTTCCACTGGGGCCCATCCTGGGATTCTTAATCTTTCTAGGACCAGGACTTGAAGCCTAATCTTGGAATTTCCTGGGCAGTAGTGGGGATAAGGTTGTTTAGGCTTCCAGAAGGTAGGAGGAGGGGGCTAGAACTACATGAAGAATCTGTCCTCCGTGCCTCCTACGTGCATAGTTCTATACTCATCAACACCACAGCCAGAGGGTGGGTGGGTAAGGCAAAGAGAATAAGGGAAAGTCATTTTTTATCCTTTTGACAGATGTCGTGTTAAAATCTTGTAGAGGAAAGAGAGCTGTAGGTGGGGGGGGGCAGGGAAAGAGATAGGTTAGAACTAATGGTTCTAATGTCTAAATGTGGCCATCTGGTCTAAGGTGGCAAAAACATGAACAGGATTTAGTCAGAAGCACTGTGACCCTGGTTCTATATCTAGATAATATAGACAAAATAAATATATTTCAATTAATTTAAACTACCTTTTAAAATCTACTGAGTATCCCCACCCAGGACACAGGCTTGTAAAAGCTGGGGCCTTGGCATGCATTTCCAAAGAGAATGTAAGTGTCTCCTAGGGAGTCATTACAGCACAAAGTGGAAATCTTCATTTAAACCTCCCATTGGAAGGTGGAAGAGAATTTCTTTTCATTGATTTACTTCTGCCTTTTGGCTCCGGTAAGAGAAAAGACATACAGCTAAGGCCAAATAATCTAACACTGCCTCTAGTCCCTGTCAGGGGCCTTTTGTACTCAGGAGTGGCCATGTTTCTGCTAACAAAGTCTAGCATATGTCCTGGATTTCTAGCAGACATTTGGTAAACAATAGATGAGTGGATGGCAAGGGAATTCAGCAAGCAACCATTGGGTCAAGCCCAGGGTCGTAAATTGACTGATCTGACTTTCCCTAGGACCTTGTTGTTAAAGACTTAGAGCAATACAATATCTAAACAGAGGCTTCCTGAGAGGACACAAGAGAAGCAAAATCAGACCCACCCTCAGGGCTCTGGAGGGATGGCACTAAGTCTATGTCTGCAGGAAATGTGGTTGTGCTTGTAACTAAAGAACTTCAAGTAGGTCAGCCAAGCTTATGTAAGGAAGCGTCTGCCTGTCTGGGCTAGGTAGAGGATGTGGGGGTGGAGAAGGGAGGGGACCCAGGGCAGCTGATTGAGGGGAAAAAAAATCAGTAAGATTCCAGGACTTGAATCTACTCTTCTTGACTCTGTCTGGGGCTCAAGACCTTAAAAGGCAGTAGGTTCTTATACTAAAGGGGTGATCAGGATTGGAGATTCCCCAAAGCTATCACAACTAGTTCAGTCTTCCATTTTACAGAGAAGAAAACTGAGGCTTCGATTAATTATCAAGAAAGTTAATATTAGAAACCAAGCCTACACTCTTTTAGAAGGATGGCTAATGATTGCTTTTGGACTGTATATCTCTACTTTTTTTTTTTTTAAGTCAGGGACTGAACTCAGACACACTTAACCACTGAACTATATCCCCAGCCCTTTTTATATTTTATTCTGAGACAGGGTCTGGCTAAGTTGCTTAGCATCTCACTAAGTTTCTTAGGCTGACTTTGAAATGCAAGATCCCCGTGCCTCAGCCTCCCCAGCTGCTGGGATTACAGGTATACACTGCTACACCCATCTGTATACCTCTATTGTTAAAGACAAACAAACATTTAGTTGCTTATTTCATTAAAAAAAGTAATAATGTTCTGTGACAGATGTTAACCTGCTTTACTAAATTACTAATGATTTTAGTATATCCATATGTATCCCTTAACAGCTTGCTGTATACTTCAAGTATACACAATAAAATTCTTAAAACACACACACACATACACACACACAAGAACAGATAGGCAGGGTTTGCACACCTATAATCTCAGGTACTTGAGAGACTGAGGCAGGAGGATCACAAGTTCAAGACCAGCCAGGGCATCTTAGTCAGACCCTGTCTCAGGGAAGAGGGGTGAGAGGGAAAGGAAGGGGACAGGGGATTAGCAAGGATGGTAGAATGTGACAGACATCATTATCCAAAGTACATGAATGAAGACACGAATTGGTGTCAACATACTTTATATCCAACCAGAGATATGAAAAATTATGCTGTATATGTGTAATAAGAATTGTAATGCATTCTGCTGTCATTTTTTATTATATTTTTTATGTGGTGCTGAGGATCGAACCCAGGGCCTCATACACGCTAGGTGAGCGCTATTCCTCTGAGCCCCAGTCCCAGCCCCATAGTTTTAAATAAACAAACAAACAAATAAATAAATAAATAAAGGGGGCTGGGGATGTAGCTCAGTAGTACAGAACTTGCCTACCTAGCCGAATATATGTGAGGCCCTGGGCTTGATCCCCAAGACCATGGAGCAGAATTTTAAGAACAATGAGATTAACAATTTAATATATAAGAATTTCTAATATTTTCCTCTGGGATATTTTTGGTGCTCTTTCCTCCCAGAGCTCTATTAGACATATACTTCAGTACTACATAGAGTACTTGCCTCTCTCTCCTCTGAGTTCCAAACATGTGGAACGCTTCTGAGGATTAAGGAGTAAGAACACCTCAGGTTGAATAAAGACACTTCCAGAATCTCCTTATCACCAGATACCTTTGCTTAGTAATCTCAAATTCAAATTCAAACTAAAATGCAAATGCTAGTAGAAAAAAAATTGGATGGGAAGAATGGAATACAGGTTTGGCATGATTACTGACTTGCTATATGAACTTGAACAGATTGTGCTCCTCTATGAATGAACTAATTAATTATTTTAAATAAAAAGTTAAGGTTACCTTTGACTTTTTGATGCTGCCATGCTTCTGAAAGAAGTTCTTGTCAGAAGGGGAACATAGGAAAAAGAGTCAGGAGAGCAATGGTGTGAGGGAAAAAAAGTCAAAAGACAAAAACAACTTTTTTTTAAACATTTTTGCCATGGGCTAAACCTACCCAGAATAGAACTTAGGTACTGAGATGACCTTTGGGTTTCATGACTGGAAGGAAAAACATTGTGTCCTCTACCTAGTTCAGGCCATTGAGTACAAGGTACTCAAAGTTAGCCTCTACTGAAACATTAAGCAGCACCTTTTCCATCTGTTCAGCATATTATAGTTTCCAAGACACCTTCACACTTATGAGTTCAGTGGATTCTCCAAGCAATTCTGAAATAAGAAGAGTAAGGATGAGCTCCATTTTAATGATGTGAAAACTGAGACCTAGAAAAAGGAAGTCACTTAGCTACCCCAGAAGCAGAGGCCAGAATAAAACCCAGATCTCTAGGCTCTCAAAACTTGAAAAGAAAGTGCCTCTACCCTTTTGTATTCTAGCACCCCCTCCCTTACTTGTCCAGTCTCTTAGAAGGGCCAATACTGTAGGCATTCTGCAGTTTTTAATAGCATGAGTGAAAATAGCAATATATTGGGTTAGACCCTGCCATTCAATCGATGGAAGATAGAAGACTAATGCATTGGTAGCATAAAAGATGAAGTCTGGCATCCAAAGCCTGACCTCCACAGATTCTTCCATCTCTCCTTCTTACAACTCTGTCCCAATGCACCTCTCCTCCCCTCTCTTGGGCTTAGAATGGCTTAAATAAGCAAGATATAAAGACTCTAGGAAATCTGGCCCATCTCAAGAGTCTTTGATTCATAAAGGAAAAGCATAGTAAGGGAGAAAAAATTAAGTCCAGCTGGTTTTTTTGGCCCACATTGAAGCCAGGTGAGAGTCAGCTCAAATGGTCTCTAAGGACTCTTCTTAGCTTTGGTTCTTAGATTTCCACAACCTTAATCCTCAAGAGTTGGCAAAATCCTCAAAAAAAAAAAAAAAAAATCAGGGCCCTCAAACATTTCCTCAGATCCCTCATGGCCTACCCCTCAAGCAGGTCAGCCACAAAGGGCTTCGGCACCACGTAGCTGTGAGTAAGAAGATGGGGGTGGCCAAGGTGGATCAAACGCCTCCAGGGATTCTCCCAAAGAGGCTTAAACAGGCAACACAATTCCCTCTCACAACAGCTTAACATCTCCAACGCTTCACTGCTTCCTTCATGCAAGAGACGAGTGGGACGTGAGCTGCTGTGGGAGGAAGGAAGGGTCAATCAGTGTGCCAGTGGGCAAGCAAGGGCAATGCTGGGGAAGGCCAGTACTCTGACACAACTCCCTCTAGTTGTTACTATGTCAGATAAAAATCTAAGCTTTTACATAATATTTACTTAAGCTGCTATTTCCTTTAGTCCTGGAAATCATTATGTAGCAGCTTGAGGCATGAGAGAGAATATGTCCAGTTAGGAGTTCAAAGGCATGGCTTCTGATCCTAAATCCATCATTACCTAATCCTGTGTCATCAGACTCATTTGTCCCCTCTCTCCACCCCAGTACACATCTGCAAAATGGACCCAATAATGGTTTTTAAAAGTGACATGGAAACACAGTGAAGAAACAATCTGAAAATAAGCTCCTCAATTACCTCCAAACTACCTATAATCACAAACCGGATGAAATCTTAACAACTTAAACATCAGCAACACATGCTCAATATTTTATAAGGCACTTTATACAACCTTTGTCACAATGTATTCTTGTAATTCAAAATCCCTTAAGACATTATAATTGAGCCTATTTTCAGAGCAGAAAACTTAAGTTCTGAGATGAATCATTTAGTTCCTGACCCTTTCCTCAACAAAGCAGATGAAATGACCATGAGTATGAACACTCAAAATAAGTTTGTCTTGAACAATTAATAAAAAAAGAATAAGTTACTTTCCCAGGGCCAGACCTGGCACCCTAGACTGCTTCCAGGTTGCAGGTACAGGCAGCCTGGCTTTTGCTTTTCCAAGTTTAGGAAGAAGTATCTATTCCTAATGTCTCCCTTTCCTTCACTACCTAGGGGTCCTGAAGAAGTAAATAACCACCTAAATGCTGCAAGCCTGTTTTCTTTCCTAGGTCTGAACTAGCATTGAAAAGCATCTGTATGGGTAAGAGTGAACTCTGTATGACTGACCAACATGTTGCCACAAGCATGCCTTCCCTTGGCCAAATTTTTGGCTTTTTCTTCCTATGACTACTTTGATTATGGCCAGGTCTGACTGGTGATGGGCATTAAAACCAGATTTGGGATAGGGGAGATACAGCTTCGTCGGGAGAGAACAAAAACTGCAAAGCATTTTCTCAACTCTTAACCTGTTTGATCCTTGATATCATCTGAGAATAATACTGATGGTTTACCAGTTGACCAAATAAGATCCAGACAGAAAAGGGGAACCTGACTGAGCCACAACCTAAGAAGCAGAGTAGTAACTGGAACTCATGTTTCTTGACTTTAGTTCCAAAATTCAGAAATGGTAATGAGGCTGTCACAGTTAACAGTAATCTTGAGTTTCTGAGGATGCTAATCAAAAGCAGTCCTGGCATATTCTATCTCACTGCTTTCTACCCTTTATCCAGATTCATTCTAGCCCCCCCCCACCCCATCAAGCAGTAGCTTTTGGTACCAAGGGCCAAAAAGGCTTCCCCAGGACACCATGACCTGGTTTCTAGCATGAGGAACTCTAAAAATAGCAGGCCCTCATTAGTGGGGCCAGATGGCCCAAGTTGCTGTGCCTAGGGGCTGGGTTGTGGTCATTAAGGATGTGGCTGGTCTGTCAGCCTACTACTGACCCAGGAGAGGCTGGGCCACTGCCCAACAGGGTCTTGCTTGATGCATTATACCATCTCTCCTCATACCCTCTCACCCATAATTTAGATACTGATGCTGTGGTCCAAGTTGGTATTTTATTCTCAAGAAAAAAGAACTTTGATATTTAGTTACTTTTGGTTTTCTAGGGCACTGCTTCAAAATCATATTACTCCATAATGTTTTTTAAGTGGACATGGGGATGAAGGAGCAGACTTAATCTTTCTACATTGATCAATGCCAATTTGCTTTCTTCATCTTTCTACATTTGCCTGTTAACTCATCTGAGGCCTCAGATCTGAGTTCTGCTTACCTTCTGGAACTGCTATGACACATGCTGTTATTAGCATCCATTTTATACTGAGCTCACTGACATCTCAAGCCAGATTTCAGGAAAAAGGTCCAGAGCAAACTGATGGAGGCCAACCAGCTGGGGCCTGTGACTACTGAGAAGAAAGGTACAGCTGGTTGACCCTAGGGGTAGGAAATGTTCTGCATAGGAGTGTCCAGGGCATGTGGGTGTGTCTCATGTGGCACTGTTTGTCCAAGTATACCCTTAGGAGTGTTTCTCTCAGGGATAGGAGTGCATGTTCTGGAGAGTAAGAGTATATCTAAATATGTATCTATGACATATGTGTACATGGGTATACACTTGTGTCCTATAGGAACTATGTATGTTCATACATACAATATGAACAGGAATGCCTCATGTGTTTCCATGGGTGTGCACTGTCATTGTGTTAAGATGGTCAAGCATGTGTGTGTGTGCACCATACTTAACTGAATATATGTGCTTTGAGTGTCAACATGAAAATATGGCCCATTTATGTATACCTTATGTGTTCCAAATACACTCCACATGTGTCTGAGTATGTTGTATGTACATGTGACTTATAGTGTGGGTGTAGGTAAAGGGCATGAATAGAAAATAAAACTAAACCAATTTTCCTCCCCAACAATTTGTTTCTAACAGCTTTCCTTAAAGACCCCTGGGTCAATCTGAGACTTTAGGCGAATCCCTACCTCTCCTTACCTCAATTTTCTCAGTAGTACTGAGGTAGTGAGCTCAATGTATGGGTTCTTTCCTCATCTAGTTACTTATCAGCTTAAGAATAATAAGTTAACTCTGATTTCCCTAACCACCACCACAAAGTGTCAAAATGCAGACATGTACATGGGGATTAACACCTGAAGATGTCTCATCCCAACTCAGGCCCCTCGAGACATTCAACACTCATTTTTCCACTGGCCTAAGCCATCTGGATTAAAAAGAATAAATACATAACCTCAGGACATACAATCTTCACCAAAACCAGGCAAAATAACATTTGGTTTATTCAAATCATTCTCCCTCATATTTTTGAATGAATGTGGGAACTAGTGAGGGTAAGGAACCAGCTTTTAAGTTCAAGGCATACTCTGTAAGAATAAGACCAGAAAATTTGC